TGTCCCCAGGTCACCAGCTTCTGTGCTGTCCCTGGTCTCAGCATCCCTCCTCTAGCCATGGCTTCCATCCTTTTTGTCCTTGTCTGCAAGGAAGCTAAGGACAACCCTCCCTCATCGCAAACCCTGAGGACGTGCTGAGGGCACCTGCAGTGCCTTTGCCAGGTCAGCTGTGGCAACTCTGCTTGGGTGCAGAGACCCCTATGCTTCAGCTTTCAGCACGGCCGGGTGACATTCTGTGTGGGAAGGACCTGTGCTCCTGCCCCTGGGAACTGTGGGCTGGAGGGGTGACCCGCCCCGAGGAAACACCTGTCTGCAGACTCAGAGCCCAGCCTGTGCTGCTGGTTCTGCACTGCAGGTCACCACCATGTCCCTCCCACAGGGATCCTGGGCTTGGGGCAGGGCCCATGAGGATATGGCCAGGGAAGCTGGACACAAGTGGACAGCTACTGAGCTTTGGAAATTCACATGACACAAGATGGGAATACGATCTGGGGTACCTGCGTATCATCTGGGATGCTTCCTTGTCCCCTCTGGCCCAAAACCCTTCCATCAGCTCCCGTAACCCTGGCTCCCCATCGACGCCCACCTGCAGAGCTACCCGCTGTGAACAGTCCTGTAACTGCAGTCACGCCCATGGGGCTCCCACTCGGTGCGCCTTCCAGCAGGCCCATCCACTGAGCCAAGGTGCCATGCTCCATACCTTCTTATAGCTGAATGTCTCTCTCCTCTCAGGCCCCAGGGTGTGGGGGCCCTGGAGTCTCCTGCAGGCAGCTCTGCAGGTGACATGCACCTGGACAGTGTGCACAGTCGTGAGGCTGCCCTGTGCAGGGAGTGACAGCTGGGGAAGCCTGTACCAGGTCAGTACAGACAGACCACTGTGGGCCTGGCTGGGCCCAACGTGAAGTTTAGATCAGCCTGGGTGAACCCAGCTGTGGGACCCGCGGGTGCAGAGGCCCAGGGTGGGCCTGGGAGTCCCTGTATGCTGCATTTCTGTCAGTGGCCTGCGCACTGCACACGGGGCAAAAGCGCTCGTGTGCGGGTCCTTTGCGTTCTCTTTGCAGTGCCCCCCTGGGAGCATGGCCCCCCAGTCTTGGTAGATCTGTCGGTAGCTTGAGAAAGCTAGTGTGGATATTAATGTGGAGCCGGAGTTGATGACATGCAGTGGCACAGGGCACATGGGTCTGGGTGCAGCCCAGGCTACTCATGTGCCATGTGACCTCTGCTGAGCTGCCAGCCCTCTGGGCCTCAACTTCCTGGGTGCAGGAGGGTACGGTGAGGGCATGGTGCAAGGCCCATGTGGGCGGCATCTGTGCCTGGCTCCCGAGGAGGGCGAGAGCAGGTATGCTGGGTACAGCTGCGGCCTGTGCTGGTGGGGCTGCTTGCGCCTACAGCAATGCCGATCTGGCAGGCAGGCAGGCAGGTATGAGGTTGCGGGGTGCACCAGTGGGGCCACTCTGCTGAACCCCAGAGACCTCCAACCTCAGACTATGGCTTTTCAAAGTCCCTCGCCCAGGAAAAGTGGCAGCCTCAGGAGTGTGCAGCTGGCATGCCCTGCCCTTTCCAGACCCTTGTGGTGGCAGCAGGATCCAAGGGTGGTGGGGACCAGTCAAGGAAACAGGGCTTCAAGGTGCCAGGCAAACCGAGGGCAGGACAATGTGGAGGAACAGCTGCAGCGGTGAGGTCGCAGGGATGTGCCTCCCGGGAGTGGTAGGAGGGGACGCTTGCTCCCTGGGGCTGCTCTGGGCCACTGTGGCAGGAGAGGGACCTGCTGCCACCGCCTCTGCCCAGTTCCTCCAGACTTCTGTGGGAGCCTTTTTTCCTAATGGCACACAGAGGTGGAAGAGGAAGCCACAGAGATTCCTAAATAGGAACTGGGATGTTGTGGAAGCGCAGGAC